GTGGGACATGATCCTGAGTTTGCTTAATATTAATTATGCTGTAGGAGATACTGCAGTAAGGTGACATTTATGCAACATTAAAGGCTATGGCTGAAAATTTTTGTGTTACAAAGCAGAAAACCAACATACTTGATTTGATCGCAGAGGGCACACAGTTTATATTTAATACTGACCAGCTGCAGTATAATACTGTTAACTGTCTTGTTGCAGGTAAACACATTTTTATCTCAGATACCCAGCTCCTCACTGTGCTCCCTAGAGGTCTGGTGTATTCACTGAATAGCATTAAGTAAGTGCAGTAATGAAAATACCTTTATCCTGGAGATGCAGATATTCTTTGTCCCTCAGGAGTTCCAGTTTTATGTTAAAGCATTTAGTTTATCATTCCTGAGTGGGAACACTCACGTCTGCAGGAGCAGGCAGCCTGTTCCCTGCCTTTGTGGTTCTGTGTCTTTGTGCACAGCGCGCTCTGTGGAGGTGTCTTGTGTAGTGACATTTCCGCATGGTACTGGTAGATTTCAGACACCCAGACCTTTGCATTTTCTGGTTTTGTTGCTTTTAGTTCTTCCAGGTCCAGATGAGAAGAATCAGTAAAATACTATGCTCCAGAAAAATAATTTTGCTTCCATATCAGTTTTGCTGCTACTGTTCAATCAAAATTAGCCTGTACTGTGTAACAGTCATTTTCATTCAGTGGTGGGGATAAATGTGCTTTGGACTAAAGCATATCTGTATTTTGCTTTTTATTCTCTTGTTGCCAGTAGGAGAGCAATTATTGTTACATCTGTTGGAGGGAAATTCAGGACAGGTTAGTCTCCACCTCTAGGATGGTGTCGTGGTTTAGCCCCAGCCAGCAACTCAGCACCACGCAGCCGCTCGCTCACTCCCCCTACCCCGATGGGATGGGGGAGACAATCGGAGGAGTGAGAGTGAGAAACACTCCTGGGTTGAGATAAGAACAGTTTAATAATTGAAATAAAGTAAAATAGTAATGATAATAATAACAATATAAGAATGATGATAATAATAATAATATACAAAGCAAGTGATGCACAATGCAATTGCTCACCACCCACTGACCAATACCCAGACAGTTCCCGAGCAGCGATCGCTGCTCCCCGGCCAACCCCCCCCAGTTTCTATACTGAGCATGACGTCATATGGTATGGAATAGCCCTTTGGTCAGCTTGGATCAACTATTCTGGCTGTGCCCACTCCCAGTTTCTTGTGTACCTGGCAGAGCATGGGAAGCTGAAAAGTCCTTGACTAGCATAAGCACTACGTAGCAACAACTAAAACACCAGTGTGTTATCAACATTCTTCTCCTACTAAATCCAAAACACAGCACTATGCCAGCTACTAGGAAGAAAATTAACTCCATCCCAGCCGAAACCAGGACAGATGGATAGATAAATTAATCTTAGACCTCACAGTGATAGCTGTTTCAATCTTTCTTTTTTTTTAAATCCTCAAAAATAAATGAAATCCATCAGGAAAGAGCATTCTGCAATTCTTAGCAAGACCCCAGAGCTGCAACCACAAGATCCACGTAGCAATTTTTTGCAAAGAGAGGTGAAGAGCAGTTTTTACAGCCGTGTGTGTCTTTGTACATTTGTCTTTCCCTCACACCTACTTCTGCTCTTCAAATTCTTCCTCTTCTATTGCAGCTAGTAGTCAAATCACTTCTCCCAAGTAAGACATTTTATATAACATTGCTTTTTTTCACTGACGTGGCCTTACCATTAGGACGTAGCCAGATCAGTTCTTCAGCCTAAGCTTGAGTGAACTGTCTGCTTCATGATCTTTCTGATTTTCAGTATATGCCTCCTGCGTGCAGTTATGAGCCTAGCTTCCTTAGGACACCCTGACCACACAAGCCTGGCCTGGGTTGTCCTGCTTGCACCCACTGAGATGATGTGAGGCATCATCAGGGAGGACACTTACAAAGTGTTGAGGTAGCATTTTGTAACGTGGGCAAAATGCAGTGTGTTACAGACCCCCAAAACAGCCACAGCAACAAAAGCAAAAGACTTCTCCTTCCTTTGACCCACTGTGGAGAGCCTCTGGGTGCTGGACTCATGATAGGTCTACAGGCAGCCCTGATATCTGCCAAGAATATTTCAAAATGGAGATCATTTGCTATTTTAGGCAAGTGGCTTCCTGGGTTATGAATTCAATGCTCCATTGAGGAGTCCCAATTCTCCACTCAGTCATTCCAGTTGCATGCTATAATTACTCCATTGTTTCCTTTAGCAGGTGTAAAACTGACACAGCCTAGTAAAAATGAGGGTTATTTTAGGTCAAACACTCTTTTCAGTAGATTAGACGAATAATTCTGGAGTAACTATTCAAAAGGACTTTTAGCTTATTACTACTATCTACTATTTACGTTCTACTAATCTACTATTTAGAGGGCTTGTTTGTTAATATTACGCCAGACATCACTCCTTGTTTTCCTGCAAAGGTGAAGTCCACACTCAATGCCCTCATGGTATCTCTGATATAATTGGAAACAGTTTTCCTTCAAGCAACCCACAACATTTGCAGAGGTAGACAAGACAGGGAATAAGTGGAAGAAACCCTGCTGCCATCTTTTAAGACAAAGACGAGCTGACTGATCCAAAGCAGAAATCTTCAAAGTTTAAGTGTCCTGACTGTTGCAAGCCATCACCAGAGGCCATCACAACATTGTGATTTCCAGCAAGCAAGACACTGAGTGGAAACTGTTGTAGATTATGTAAAATCCATTTTATTTTCAGCTGGCATGAATCTACAGGCCAAATTCAGCAGACCTCATTTAAATATACCACTACTCTGTGACAGTGGCAGTTTTGGTTTGACATTTATGCTGAATTTGCTGTTTTTTCATGTAAATTTCAATATTCAGTGCGGAGAACAGTAATTTTCTGTGTTTTATTTAATCATTATCCCATACTGGTCTTGATAGTCTCCTGTCTAGCAGTATTCGTCTGTTGCCATCCAAAAAAAAAACCACTGGGTTTTTTCCCCCCTTCATTGCTAACCCTGGAGCAGCCACTGTCTTTTCTTATTCTGAGAAGATAATAAGACAACACCCTGATACCCAGTCCCAGTTTTGCTACTCCATTGTTTGGTTTGGGCTGTCTTTCCTTGGTTCGGGCACTTGGAATCCCAGACATGTAGTTGAAACCGCTGGTCCTCATCCCTGCAGTGGAATAGCTCCAGTATGCAGCTTACAGGCTGATGTCTCAGAAGGAATTTTTTTAATGATTTTTATTTTTTTAAACGAATTGTTAGGTTTGTGAGCACATTTGCCCTCTACTGGGTAAAATAGAAACTGCTCAGCCCGGCTCCCCCTTTCCAGTGGTTGCTCTGCAAAAAGAGGAGGCACGATTTGGGGCAAAATTTCAGCAAAAAATCCCTCCAGTGGGCCTGGACCAGCTTTTTAGCTGTGGTGAGTGCTGGGAAGCAGATGGAGCTTTAGCTCAAAATCATCTCTGTTGGCTGGATTTTGCCTTTAGTTCTTTGGCTTGTTCATAGTTGTAGTCAAAAGAAACTAGGAGGGCAAAGAAATAATAAAGCTGGCCAAACTCCACCCTGCCTTCACCTCCTGAATGGAGGTCTGGGTCTTAGCATAAATGCAGAAGTGTGTTCCTGTTCCCGTAAGCAAAGTTATGGCCTGTAATTTCAGCTGACAGTTCAGAGCTGATTTCCTGATATTGCCTGTACAGGAGCCCCTAGTACCTGTGTACTTTTCCAACCACAGCTTGTCACAAGCTGAAAGAAGTGTCTCTTTAGTTTTAAATTATTTATTTTTATTCCAGTCAAGACTTAAGTCCTTACTGCATGTGTCTTTCTACACAGAAGAATAAAATAGCATCGTCCTTTCTCAAAAGGCCAGCTACTCTTCTGCAGTCAAGGAGTGTGCAGAGCAGCTTGCAGGAAGCATTAGGGACCAGGATGGCAGGCATTGGTTCAGTGAACAGTTCCATATTTGTTGGGGTTTTTTTTACAGTTAATTTTTTTAACTGACTGGTTTAACATTTCAAAAGTTTACTTCTCTGGGAGGGCTGTTTTAAAACACCTTGAGGGCAGTGGACACTGGCAGCTTTGTAGTTTGATCATGGAGCTGTTATTCAGTGTCAGTCAGAAAATAACATTGCCATGTGCTTCTGTAAGAAGGCTGCAGACCCCTTTATGTCTCACTTTGCTGAGAGGAAAACAACCACTGCCATGCATTATTTGCCGAGGACTACATCAGATGCACATCACAATAACACCTTTTGATTTCATCTGATTTTTTTTTTAACCTTGCTAAAACACTTATTAAAACTGTTTCTTACTTTTTTAGTTAACTCTTTGTGTGTGTGCATGTTTGTGCGTATGTATAATACATACACAGTGTGTATGTTTTTAGATGTGTGCGTGTGTGTGTGTGAAACTCTGCGTGTGTGTGTGACTCTGTGTATGAAAAATATGTAAACATATCAGGGCCCATCTTGTACCAGACTCTGCAGGCTGTGGCAGGTCCTCCTTTTGTAAATCTCCTTTCCCATATGCATGGAGTGATTTTTCATTCCAGGAGCACTTTGATCACAGTGCATAGGCTTTCCCATTGGCATAGCTGCAAGCCAAAGACCATGAGAAGAAGATGCAGGGGGGGGCTGCAAGGGTGACATGCTGAATTAGGCAGCAAACTGCTTTCCAGGCTGCACATGCAGCTCCAAAGCAGCCTCTGGACAAAGCTGCTGGGTGGTTGCTGGCTCCTGGTACCGAAGGTGTGCAGCTTCCTCTGGGGAGAGGACCGAGACCCTGTCCCCTGCCTTCCCCAGGCAGGGACGGGGCAAGGTGCAGCTGGGCTGGTAAGGGGCAGCTGGGGCTCCCCTGAAGCAAGCTGGGTGCCACCAGACAACTCCTACCACTCCTGTCCTCCCGTGGCGTGGCTTTGCTCTTCTGTGCCATCCCCCCCACCTTCACGTCAGCAAGTGCTTCATCGCATGAGTCCCCCCAGTTTGCACGAGGTGCGGCACTGGGAGCCCTGCGGGAAGGGCTGGCCCAGCTGGTCCCTGCCTGCCTGGGCACACCGTGCGGGACAGCCCAGCACAGGGGCCATGGGCAGCTGAGTGATGTGCTGTGTTTTCCCTTTCTCTCCTGACCAGGTCCTTGAGGCAACCAGGGTGAACCGCAGAAAGAGCGCACAGGCGCTGCGTTGGGAAGCCGGCATTTATGCCAACCGAGAGGAGGATGAATAACCGTGCTGCAGCGCGAAGATAGTGACCAGGCATGCCGAAACCAAAAAGAGAGAAAGGAAGAAAAAGAAAAAAAGAAAAAAAAAAACCACCACAAAAAAACACCACGAAAGCAGCAGCATTTTAGTCCAATATTTATTAAATACACAACAAACTCAGTGATACACATAGACACAGAAATGATCCAACTCCTGGCAATCCTAAAACAACAGGAAAAACCCACCTAGAAAATAACTCCTTCTCCTTCCCTCCATTCTTCCTCTGAAATAATGCAATGGGCAGGGTGCCGGGGGTGGGAGCCCTCGGGGGGAACAAGGGGGCGGTTGTCCCCGCAGACCAGAGGGGCTGCAGGCGCATGGTGGGAGGTCAGCGCAGAGGAGCCTGCAGCCAGGGCTCATGCTCGCGCTTTCTGCTGACCTAATTGACAGCCCTGCCTTGCCCCCAGGATCACCGTCCCCCCAGCAGCTCCCGTCGGACCCTCCTGCAGTTCCTTTGCCTCCCACAGCCACTGCACCAAGACCATCGGCATTACTCGGCGTACTCCAACCAGCCTCAAAATACAACAATATTGCCCTCTGTTGCTATTTCTTTGAGGGGTCTGAAGGGTTGGGTTTGGGATTAGGGGCTTTTATGTGGGGGAGGGATGTCTGCTCCCCTTTCTAGTAATTTATCTGTTTAAGAGGAAAAAAAAAAAACAAACAGGGAGGCAGTTACTGCAAATGAACAATCCAGTAGACTCAATAAAACAGTCCTTGTGTTGCGAACACAAGCCATCACAATTTAGGAGTGGAAAAGATGGGGATGAGAGCTAAGCCAAATGGATTACCTTAGCTTTAGGATCCTATATGCTTGCAATATCACCTGAGTTCCAGGTTCTCAGAGCATATTTACATAACAAAGTTTCTAAATAAAAAATCTGTATTTAGCGGATGACAACTATTTTTTGATGGTGGGGAGGGAAAAGAATGGCATATGTGTAAAATCTATGAAGATGGATAAATTGAAGTAGAAGGGTAGTGGGAAAGGGATACAAATAAAGGACATTTAATTTTTAAATAAGGCAATAATTGAACTAAGCCAGACTTTGGCCTAGAAAGAGGTAGGAAATAAAGAAGAAAGATAGTTATGTCTTCAACTATATTTATACAACATAAAAAGCCTTTGAAATAGAGTGCTTTGTGGAAGTCTTCACGTTTCCAGGCAACAAAAATGCTAAAGGGCATAATGAGTTGGAAGGAGTGAGCAAGGAAGAGCAGACAAGGGAAGAAAACATTATTTTTCTCATTCAGCCAGTGTTTCCAGTGCTACAAGCAAACCATAGAGCCTTTAGTTACTGCTTAGGCTTGGGATCAGCAGTGAAGGATCAGTGTGGATCTGTGTGTGCGTGTGGGCATGTGTGTGTGTGCATATGTGTGTGCGGGTGTGTGCGTGAGGCTGGCATACCAGAAAGTGTATGGCAGCGCGTGTACTGGTTATTTTTTCCAAAGCTGTTTACCAGCTATAGGGGTGAGTGCTAATTTCTGGGTTTTTTTTCTGAAAGGGGATATAAAAACAAGGCACTGAGTTAATGCAGTATTTGTGATATTAAAATTTGACCCAACATGGTATTTGCATGAGTCACAATTGCAAAGTATTGACCAGTTTTGTAAGCTGACAATTAGGAAAAGAAATGTGGTATTTATTCTTGTGCTTTGTATTTGTATGTAGTATAGAGGCTGCGGGTTTACTCTTTCTTTCACGCAAGCAATACAATAGGAATATTTTACAACTGGGAACCATAATTTCTGGACTAGAAACCAACAAGTTTGGGAGGTGACAGAAAAAAAGACACTGAGCTTTTTTCTATATAAAATATTCTGTCTTTTTTATAAACAAACAATTATTATTTTGACATCTTTTTTAAAAATCATCAGCCAGGATGCTGGTCCTCTTTTAGGCCTTTCCGTGGTTTCATGACCTGCTGTGCTGTTTTATCCTGAAACAGTGGGCTCATTTAAAATGATTACCGATACTGTGAACATACTGCTGGTGCTTTTCTTAAACAAACACAGAGCTTGCAACCAAATGATTCCCTTCAGTTCCTCCAACATGTGATTTCTGTCCATGGACACTATCATTTTGAGGCTTATTTTCAGGGAATTGTAGCAAGTACAATTATATATACCCGTTAACTCAGTTCTGTCAATTGTCACCCTAAGTGCTATTGAACAGAAGAAAACCCTGCTGAACTAGGTGTTCACTGTGATAAGGGCAGTGAGCTTATCTCAAGGATGTTCTTCTAAACCCAGGTGCATGGGGAGGCACCATGCCTGTGAAGGAATTACATCCCTGATGAAGTGGACCCGTTGTCCAGACATGGCAGTCAACACTGAGCTGTGATTCACGTCTGCAGGTGGGTCGTTACCATAAGACTGTAGGAAAAACAACGCCACCAGTGCAGTACTCTAGTGAGACCATATGTCATGTAGCCACATCCGTGAGCTCTGCGCATCTGGACCAAGAGGAGTCCTGGCTCCCTCCACCCTTGGGGAGAGCATAAGTGAGACTGAGAAAAAGGGGTTTCCTGAGCAGAGGAGACGGCCCTTGTACTACAGTGAGTGGTGTTGCACCAAACCATGCTCTTCAGAGTTTCCCCCAATATTTGCTGCCTGAAACCGGGGCAGCCCTGGGCTGCCTTCCCAGGAACCTGCACCTCTATTTTCTTTAACCTGGAGGCCTGTTTTTTCCTCCTGCTCTCTCACTGGAAGCCAGTGACCTTGATCACCCATCACAAGACATCCCTTCATGCTTTGCCACATCCTCCCCTACAGCCACAATCAGCCCTCAGTCTTTGAAGCGAAACTTAAACTTCCCCTAGAAAGGGGATGTGGTGGTGGTGGAGGGAGGCCAGGCAGGAGTCCTCTGCACTAGAAGCATTTGCTTTCAGCCCCTGCAACAAAAGTGTTTATATGTATCAGTGCAGGACAGCCAAACTTTCCACCCAGCAGAGTTTTTCTCTTCCAGAAATTATGGACACTCGTAGTCAGCAGCAGACATTCAGTGCTGTGGTAAGACGAGTGCGATGCAGTTTACTTGCCTCTGTTATTTCATTTGCATGCTACCAAGCTTAGGTGTTTATAAGTATACACCAGTAATACATATCTATCTATATATAACTATATCCACAAAAAGAGCACTATTGCAGAGTTAACTTTGTCTCCACAAAAGAAACGCTCAGATCCTTTCCCATGGCAAAGACTGGTTTTAATGAAACTGTGTATTGAGAAATAGTTAAGCATTAGCATTTGTGATTATAATCAGTTTGGGGTAACAATGCAGGTTTTCTGAACAATTCATTTTAAAAGCTGCTGGTTTGGGCTTCATCTTGCTCTGTACTGACATTATCTGAAGGAAAATACAGTAGCATTGACGTGTTTGGCAACCAGAAGGAGGCATCCTTGTCATGACTTATCAACCAGTTTCAACAATACCTGGCTTTCTGTATGTTAACCACTTAAATGTTATCCTGCTTCTGTTTTATAGTGACTGTGAGGCCTACAATGCAAGTATATAATTATTTTCTCATTAAAACAGAAACCTGTGTTGTGTTTCTATAAAGCTGCCTGTTTCTTCACCTTGCAGGAAGGTGCACCCCCCGTGCAAGCAGCATGTGGCTGGAGAACAGTGGCTTGTCTCCCACCTCCCAAGGTGGCTGGTCTCCCTGCCTTGACTCTGCTTCTGTCTTTTTGTTTACAGGCAGGAGAGATATCTTTTTCTCCACTCACTGGTGTCAGCTGCAGATACACAGGACATGATGAATTGCAGGAGCTTTCTTACCTTGCTTCCTTCACACCTGCAGGACCCCTGCCATCCCACATGGCAAAGCATGTCATTTCAGCCACTCATCCCTTTCTCACATGCATAGCTGCAGCAACCAGCCACTTGCCCATTGCCACAGCCCCTCATCCACCTTTCATGGCCAGCTAGACCAGGAGAGATCCCGTCCCTCACCCCTGCTAGGAAGCTGCCATCACGTTTGCCTGCGAGAGCTGGAAGGTACCGGGGCACCGGGTGCATGGCAGCTGAAGATGAGCTGCAGGGACCTGTTGGGAACTGGACAGGTTCACGCCAGCCTCTGCCCCTTCTTGTGCCAGGAATAGTCAGGCATTTAATTATAACCCTGCTCCACAGCCCATGGGAGGAGGCTGAGAACACCGGTGATTTCAGTGGGAGTTGGCTAGGGCCAAGCACAGCAATTCAGTCCATGCTCTCCATAACACAAGCCCTCCTCTCCCTTGTGCACACAAGATCAGAAATGCCTATGGAGAAATGTCAGATGTGGATTTCCTTTCCAGTCAGTAAATACTGCTGGAAGCCAGAAAATGGGTTAGAAAACAAGCCTAACAAATTTATCCACCAGTTCTGGTCTCCATGTCTATGAAGAAAAAGAGGTTATTGTCTTTTCAACACAGAAGAGGCTTTTTGTCTTCCTTTGCCTTTCCTTGCTCAGTGCTAAGAGGGATAGCATATTGGACTCACTGGCACACAGTGGGAAAGGAAACTCCTTCTAGACCTCTCCTTTGGGTTTTATGAGTATTAAAAGTGGAAATTGGACATTTGCACGGGAGCATTTAGACATTGCAAAGCTAACACAGTAACGCTGGTGAGTGGCAGCAGCTCAGGAATTTTTGCAATGCGTTCTGCTGTTACCAGCTGTTGGTATTTGTTTAATAACACATACTTAGGACATGTATAATCCCTGTCGCCCCATTGCATAGCCAAAATGGCATGCACCAAGCTTTACAGTATTTTTACAAAGTAATTAAGGACTATAGAAGAGCCACTTTATGCATCATTTCTGGCATAGTCCCATATAAGTTTAAGGACTATAAAAGAGCCAGTTTATGCCTTATACTTATCCCACTATTTATCCCATATAAGTATCCCACTACTTATCCTATATAAGTAGTTAAGGACTATAAAAGAGCCATTTTATCCATCATTTCTGGGGTAGTTACATATAAGGTGATGATGTTGAGCCTCTAATAGTTGTAGGTGGCTTTAAGAGACCTCATCACAATGGGAAAGCAAAGGGACAGGCAAAGGATCTCCTCTGCAGAGGTGGGTTTGATTAAACTGCTTTAAAAGGAGGGAGAGCATTCAGTACAGTGTTTTCAGTTGTGAGTGGGAACAGGAGATTTAAAAAAAAAAAAACCACAAACTGGTTCTGTAGTGTAAGAAAGCCAAGTCAGAGCACCACAAGCTGTAGCAGAGGAGGGACAGGGCTAGGCAGGACCAGAGCTACAAATATTAGCATGGACATTAGCACTGAAGATTACTTTCATTTATGATCTAGTTATTGAACTGACTAGGACAGGCAGTCCAGGAAGTTACTAGCAGTGTGTGGGTCCAGCCCTGCACTGCTCCCCAGGTTAAAGACTGAACAGCATCCCAGTGTTTCACATGGTGCAAGACCAAGGGGCAGGAGCTATCTTGTCACATCAGCAACAGCACAGAGGGAAAAAACCAAATTTGAAAATAAACTAACAAACAAACAAAAAACCCAAACAACAGAAAAACCCTCAAATGACCTCCCAGTCTGCTGCTAGCTCTGGCTGAGCCCTGGTTAATTGGCAGCCTAACCCACTGCTTTATCAATGGAGTCTCCAGGAAGAAAACTTTTACAGTAAGCACTAAATGTGATGTCAGTGTGAGAGCTCCTGCTCAGTCCCAGGCATGTGTCATCTCTGCAGTGAATTCAAGGTGGTGTGCCACCAGGAGCTGGAAATATTTCAGGCCTCATTCCAATCTAAACTGTGGCAGTAGTGGTGAGAAAAATTGATGAAGGAAGGAAAAAAAAGGTGTGCAAAGCTACTTTATCACATTCTCTGTTACTGAAACTGCACGGGAAGGATTGTGTGGCAGGGATTCATGAAGCAGCAGTGACATCTGGAGGGCAGATTGCACTGACCTTGGGAAGACCATTTCCAAGGATGTCCCCTGGAAGCCAAATTCTGGAAGCAGCCAATACCCAGGACAGATGTGCTGACTGATGCTTTGGCATCAGTCTCAGGGCCATGTCAGTGCCAAGCCCATTATGATGGCACCTGTGTTACTAACACAGCCCTCTTGGGATCAGTGAAGGACCAGGAAGAGAGCCATGGCACATCTCACAAGCTTCCCAGGGGAGATAGCTGGGATGGGGACCCCAGAAAATGCTGCTGTGCTTAGCATGCACATCCAGTGCCCTAGGCATGCC